TTATTGTAATTTTGGCTATTATCAGGAAGATGCTGCTGCCCATCTCCTGCCTGTTTCCCTTTGTCGCCTTTTACGACACCCACGGGAGGATATGGGGTAGTGGATATTCTTGACCGCCACTACACGGCAAATATTTGATGTATGAAATATTTGACGGTGATATTATAATATCTGAAGATGATGTATGGCCTCTAAATCTTCCTTACCTACGAGTATATTATTCTTAAACAGACAATCCTCAACACTACAGATAATTTCATCTTACGGGATTTTTGCGGTGTTACTGTAAAATTCAAGCCCTTCGACTATACTTTTATTGTAGGTTCGTCCAGTGTTTGTTTTGACAGATTATAGACCGAGCGTTGTTTATTGTTTGTGTCAACGGTAGCGTTACGTTTCTACGTTGACATTAATGTTTGGCTTTTGATTTGATTTGTTTTCACATCTATTATATTTAATAGAAATACGGGGCAGTGGCCAAAACGAAATTGCAGGAAGTACAATGAGCTCAAAATAAAGTAATAAAAATACTTTTCTCCTACCCATACTTAATATCAATTCTTTTTTTTATAGAATAAGGGTGACAAACGAGCACACAGTCCACCTGATGGTAAGTGGTTGCTGTGGCCCATAGACATCTTACAACATATATCTTCGATTAAGAATCAAAATGCAGATGCGTTGTCATCCGTGAGGACTAAGATGGAATGCCTCGTTTCGAGTAAAAAGGGTCTCCGGTTCTCTACACTTACCAAACGAAACACAGTAGCGTTAAGCTGCTATTTTACGCTGGTATTCTCTGAGAGCGTGGTCCGTCCCCGGTCAAGCCGACCTATTCCTGCTACAACCATAATATAGCTGCAGCATGGCTCTAACATGTAATAAAAAATTCGTAAAATTTTTGACACATGACACAAAAATTAACAACTAATTAGCAACAAATTATCCCCTTTTATCAGCTACGGTGGGGTTGATTGAAAGATTTTACTGCTATCTTAATGTAAAGATAGCAGTAAATCAAATTTCTCAAAATCGGTTGGAGCAACAAAATCGCGAATTTGGTAACTAATTAGCAACAAATTAGCTACAAATTCCTAGATACAATTTTAAGGTTTCTGCTGACTTTATAGCTGTAAATAATAGGCAAATGTTCCGTGCATTGACTCGTACACACACGCGCGCGCGTCTTTGTTGCCCACAAACGCCATTCAATTTCGGATATATTCAAATAAATGTAGAAACTTTATTTAGGCATATTTTTCAAAACTGCAAAAAGTGTATGTCAGTATTTATATTTTGAACTTAACTTTTGTGCAATTGAAACTTGAAACTGTTAAAGAAATCTATATTTTTAATATGAGAAAGTAGGATGTTATAAAAGTGTGCTCCCTCAATGGTAATATTTTTTTCCCTAATTTAGTACATGTTTTTGTCAGTACGAGCAAGCTATCTCGGCGAAGTCGGCGTTTGGATATGTCTTACTTTTTGGTAAAGAATAAACTACTTTGGATGGTTTTAATCATGATCTTCCTAATTAAAATACACGTGCTATATAAATAAAGTTGTCGTATGTTCATTGTAGATATTCTTACACCTCACAGAATACCAGCGTAAAATAGCAGCTTAACACTGCTGTGTTTCGTATGGTGAGTGTAGAGAACCGGAGATCCTTTTTACTGGAAAAGAGGTATTCCATCTTAGTCCTCACGGGTGACAACGCATCTACATTTTGATTCGCAAACGAGGATAAATGTAGATGTCTATGGGCCACAGCAACCACTTACCATCAGGTAGACTGTGTGCTCGTTTGTCACCTAATCTTTTAAAAAAAACTGCCACTACACTCTGGTTGATAGTATACTATACATTCTTGAAACATTGATGGAACTTGGAACTACATTATTGATCACTTTCTTAATCGATAAGCCTGAAATAAAACAGGCTTTACCGAAATGTTTTGAACAAAACTTTGGATTCTTATTTTTTTTTTGGCCTAAGCAAAATTGGTTAAAACAATGCATTTTACAACAATTAATCGTTTTACACTTAATTTTTATCATTATCAAATTTTATACTGGGTTATTTTTCAAAGACCAGCCAAAATTAAAAATTAAGTTCAAAATATAAATACTGACATACACTTTTTGCAGTTTTGAAAAATATGCGTAAATAGTTTCTACATTTATTTGAAAATATCCGAAATTGAATGGCGTTTATGGGCAACAAAGACGCGCGCGCGTTTGTGTACGAGTCAATGCACGGAGCAATTGCCTATTATTTACAGCTATAAAGTCAGCAGAAACCTTAAAATTGTATCTAGGAATTTGTAGCTAATTTTTTGCTAATTAGTTACCAAAATCGCGATTTTGTTGCTCCAACCGATTTTGAGAAATTTGATTTACTGCTATCTTTACATTAAGATAGCAGTAAAATCTTTCAATCAACCCCACCGTAGCTGATAAAACGGGATAATTTGTTGCTAATTAGTTGCTGAAATACAATGCAAAAAAATGTTATAAAATTAAAAATTAAAAAATCAACAATTTAAAAAAAATCAAAACTTTAAAAAATATCAAGTGATGTTTTAATACTGATTCTGAAGTTCCAAGTTAATGGCAATTTTGCTGCTGATTAATAAATAGATCAATAACACCCAGACAGCCTACAACAATATAAAATCGGTCGATAAGTTATATCAAGTAATAAGTTACAAATAAATGTGTACAAGCTGCCTATACGCATGATTTAATAACAGAACAACGTTATATTGTTGCTGTTCAGTTATAGAAGTAGCAAGTTATAAAGAGCCAAAAAACAAAAAAAAATCGGGCTATGAGCTGCACCAAGTCTTTTATAGCTTGCGGGTTGCATACTGCCCACTAATGTCCGTTGCGTCTATTATAAAACCTTACACGCGTAAATAGGGCTTCGTCCGTCCACATAATGTTAGTATAATTTTTGACAACAACCTTTCAAAAAAATGTTTTCGAGGTAGACCATCGTTATTATTCAGTGCTTGCACACATTGGTAATGAAATGGGTGATATGCAGAAGAACTCAGTTTTCACACGTAGTACTGGCTATGACAAGTAATACTACCCACAAAAAAATAGGACACTCGGTTACGTAATGAGGTCACGGTCAAGTCAACTCTGATTGTAAGCCGGTCAGGTGAACGTACCCAGCGGTGTAATGGAAGGAAGAGAGCGGCGGAGACGCGTTTGTTTTTATCGAGTCAAAACAACTATTAGATACCTAATCTGTAACCGAGCGCAAGTGCCGAACAACACCAACTGCTTCCGAACTCAATACTCTCTTACGAATGTGTGAGTGCGTATTTATGAATGACAAGCATATAAATAATACATTTCCACATATTTTGAAAAAGATAAAAAGGATAAAATTTTCAGTTAATTTCTTGTTGATTTCTTTCACCATTCGCTTTTGTTATCTATTCTGAACCTTCTCTGCAAATTTGGCCGGTTATGGCAAAATAACCCTGTATATGTTTTTTTTATTATATAGTGTAAGCGGCAGATAATGCAATAACATTTTATCTCTTTAAGGTAAAAGAAATGATCTCTTTTAAGTAATAGAGATAATACTTCACTAAGGAGAGTTTAAAAAATATTTATACATTTTGGTCCCTATCATATAATGGTATTGATTTTAACCAGTTTAAACAGCAACTCATCTTCGGCATGCATTGATCATTGACTTTTGGAGTCATGAATTTCATACATCTCGTTTTAGTGCCCTAAATGCTAACTATTAACATTAAACCAATTTACTAATTTAGATATAGCATTATTTACTTCACTACCGTCATATTTTACTAATTGTCATTTTAATTTGAAAATGAATGAAGTGTCTTCATGGTTATCTTTTACTTTGTAAGGTAAGTCATTAATATATACAAGAAACAGAAAGGGGCCGAGAATTGACACCTGAGGCACGCCCATTTGTACTATCGACCCGTAAAAGCTCATACTAATAATGACAACTTTTTGCATTCTGTTACTTCAATTACTTAAAACTTTTATACGCCGAAGTGTTGAAGACACTTCATCAAGAATATTTTTTCAAAAATTTCTGTTTGAAGTACAGAAATAGGTCTAAAATTGGAAAAAGTATAAAAACAACACTAAAGATTCGTAATAATACTTAAAAGTCAATTTGGACTTTAATACCATACCATACAGTTTAAGTGTTATTGGAGGGGTTCCGGGAAGGCAAAACAATTATAATTTTCATTTTTTGATATAATGTAATTATTGACTTATCAACTTTCTCTTACTAGCTGACCCGGTGTCTCGAATAGCACAATAAGTATTAAAAAAATTTAAAGAATCGACTGTTAGGCGGTACGAAGTTCGCCGGGTCAGCTAGTCTATAATATAAAAATGAATCGCTGAATGTGTTGCTAAGCGCAAATCTCGAGAGCAGATGAACCGATTTCGCTAATTCTTTTTTACAGTATTCCCTGAAGTACGAAGATGGTTCTCACGAAGAGAAAAATTTTAAAAATTACCTGAAAAAGTATAAAAATAACACTTTTCTATATTCCCATACAAAAGATTCGTAATAATACTTAAAAGTCAATTTGAACTTTAATACCATACCATAAAGTTTAAGTGTTAGTGGAGGGGTTCCGGGAAGGCAAAAAAACTGAGTGACGTTAGTATCGTATAAATATTAATGTCAATATTTATATGATGTTACACTCAAAAATAAATGGCCCGGTGTATCGAATACCAGAATAAGTATTAAAAAAATAAAAAAATAAAGAATCGACTGTTAGGTGGTATGAAGTTCGCCGAGTCAGCTAGTTACAAATAAAAATCTATTGCGAGTGGACGAGATGCGTCCAAAGAAAGATAAAGAAAACTTGATAAAGTATTTAAGCAGTGCGTTGCGTTGTTGCTGTTTACAACTTAAGAGTATAAAGACATTTGATCAAAGATAAAGCACGATAAGGAAACAGAAGTAAAAGAGCATGTCATGTATGTACATTTATAATATATTTGTATTTTTGTTGTTAAATAATTTACTATCAAAACTAAATACAATGAGCGTTATTCGTTTTGCCTAATGTCAATATCAATTTCGTTAGAATCGGTTGTGGGTATATTAAAAATGTCATTTAGTATATCTTGTTGTATGGTGAAATTTAGTCGATCCAATGCTTCAGTAGACTGTGTAAATTTATTACTGCTTGTAGTAGTCGTCCTTACATCTTCCCCTTCTTCACTAGGATTGTAAATATCGTCTATGATCGAGGTCTCGGTTGCGGCAGGTTTCGGGCAGGGACTTAATCGTTTCACTTCTACGTCTAGAAAAATATTGTCATTATTATTTTGTGTGCTTATTATTAGTCCCCATATATTATAATATCGCTTTGTAGCAAGTCTTTTTCTCGTGGGTCCTTAGTCAACAACTTTAGAGCACGGCCTTTTTCAAAAATTATTCCAACTGAATAATGGTTTTTCGGGGCACCTACGGGACTCACTGTTGGTATTATTGACACTTCTATTAGAATTCGCAATTTTCCAAAATAGAATCTTGAATTACTTGTAGGTCAACTCGACTGGGAAAGGATCAATCACCTTTCACACAATATCATCATAAAATAGCAACATACGTACTAAGTTTCGTGAAGTGGACTAAAAGAACCTAAGATCAGTTTTACTGGTATTAAGGTATTCTATCATAGTCCTCATGGGTACATCCTCCCGCATTTGCATTTTAAATCTTAATGGAAGCTAGATGTTGGTGTCTTTAGACGACTGCATCTACTTACAATAAGGTGGACTGTGCTCATTTGTTATTCTTAATTACATAAAAATAATGAATTCCTTACCAACACCACAGGTTTTGGCGCATTCAAGTCGTCCTCGGTTAATGTAAGTTACGTTATTAGTTCCGCAAATAGGATTGTACTCTGACGTGGCAGGACATGAAACTTCACATTGTCGTAGTAATTCAGCGAATGAAGGACTATCCTCACTTGTGGGATTGCTTAGTTCTTCAGATACTAACGAACATGGCAATCTACTTTGAATTCTGACGTCTAAAATGAATACAAAATAATTTAAGTAAACTTCAAATTGTTTTAGGTTTTTCTAAAATCTTGTAATACTGCCCGTTTTCCCAGGGCAAAAAAGTAACAACACAATAAAGTACGGTAAAATTTATAAAATTCTAGTATGTTTAGCTGTCCTTATTATATTATAGATTATAGATATTAGCTTGCTTTAACTCGAAAAGACGTGGACGTAAGAAATTATCATACCTATTCCACACAAGCGGGTGCATTCCAAGCGTCCTAAATTCGGGTAGGTTACTTTATCAGTTCCGCATACAGGGTTGTATTCTAACGAAGTGGGGCATTCTCTGATACAGTCTTCGACAGTTCTTGATGACAAAGTTGTAGGTACTAGCTTTGATGGAGTAGAAGTACTTGAAAATAAAAATATAATAATTTTTCATTCCAGCAATTGATGCAATCTATGACTATACTAAAACAAATTGCAGACTTTATTTCGAACGTGCCGTGGCGGTGTAAGAATACCCAATACGTTTTATCGTCTCGTGGGTGTCTTAAGAGGTAATAGAGAAAACAAATCAGGAAATCGGCAGCAGCGTCTTTCTAATATCAACTAAAAATAAAAAATAAACTGCTGTTGCCAACCCGCCTGCTAAGGGTATCTATGAGGCAATCTATGGGAGAGGCCAATGTTCAGCAGTACACTTTTGATAGGCTATAACGATAACGGAATTATAAATAGGCTTTTCAAATATTACACCATTATTATTATTAGTACGGCCTGTCAAAAGTCTACTGCTGAACATTACATAACAATATTCCCAATAGTCCCACATGTTAGCAACCGTAGTTTTTAATATAGTTTTAATTAACTTTTACCATTTCTCTCTGTCACCTCTTATGACACTTACGGGATGTTCTGGAATAGTGAATTATATTACGCCGCTACTACACATGCGCTCGCTTACAAACATTATTTGAAAAATTCCACACTTATCACGTTGGTCTGGGGGGGTTGGTGAACTCATAGTCGATACCCTCGCACTATTAATGCCACTCTTAATCAATCTATTTATGATTTTGAGGTTCAGCGTTTATTAATGGCTATTCCACAGCCAATCGGGTACCAGAGAATAAGATATAATTTACATAAACCAACCGCCGATTTAGCGTGATGGTTATGGGTGGGCAACTCTTTCAAGATTCACATGCCTTGTTGCGTATGCCTGGGGAGGCCGATATCCAGAATGCAATAAAAAATAAGATTGTATTTATATCAAACTAGCGTTCCACCCCGGCTTCGCACGGGTGATTTCTATATATTGATAACAGTCTATCTAATATCTATGTAACTATCGGGTCCAATTGTGAATCTAAACCCTTTTCGAATCAACAAATAAAATCTCATTAAAATCGGTCCAGCCGTTTTGGTGTGATATAGGAAACGTGTTAATGAAAACAGGCGTGTTGATGATACTAAATCAATAAATATATTATTTGATAATAATATATTATTTTACCTAAATGTAAATAAAAAAATAAAATATAGGTATATTCTATGGGTAGTTCGGGTGGCCAGATCCCTCTGCACCATAGTAATTTCAAGGTCATAATAGAATTGGTATGATGTATCATGCATACATACAACATACTTATTTGACACAACACAATATGGGCACAACAAAATTTTAATTAATTAATTGTATACATAATATAATGAGTTTCAAAATTGAATTAAACGAAATAATTATTTTCATAATTCACACCTATAGGTTAGATATTCAATCTATTATCCCAAAAATAATGAATTATAACAATATAATATAAACTCACTGAGATATAGCCGTTAATGTGTAAAAGTAGGCATTTCATTACAAAATTATTTGCAGATAGTTTTTTTTAACATTGCATATATTTATTAGGTAAGTACATCTTTCGTGTTATGTAAGTATTAGGTAAGTACCCCGTGTAGTGGCGGGTAAGAATACTCACTACCCCATATCTTCCAGTGGGTGTCGTAAGAGGCGACAGAGGGAAACTGAGGCAGAGGATGGACAGCAGCATCTTTCCGATAACAGCAAAATAACAATAAAAAAACACACCAATAGGTTAGATATTCAATCTATTATCCCAAAAATAATGAATTATAATAGTTAAAACCTTATGATATGAAAGTTTAATCAATATTAAATCAAAAATGAATTATTGCATTTCATATGAAGATACAGAACAAAGAAGTCAAAGCAACGTAATCATTTTCAATAACAATAACATAATCACATAATAACAGACAGATCAAAATACAAATCCTAATCCTAGCAGCGCAAGCAATTTGACAAACTTTTGTTTTAAATCCAAAGTACGTACTCGTATATGGAAACGTTTGCTTTTACATCGAACTATGATCATACGGTATGATTCACACCTAATTTTAAGATACTAGTATAATACGTCACGTGTATGAAAGAGGCATTAGTCACGTGTATGAAAGAGGAATGTGAAATTAAAGGTCTCCGTTTGAATGCTAATAAAACTAAGGTTCTGGTATTTGAAAGGGACGAAGAGAGAACGAAGTGTGAAATATGGGTAAATCAGGAATGTCTAGAACAGGTAAATGAAATTGTATACTTGGGGAGTGCTTTTAGCCGGGATGGAAGATGTGATTTAGATGTGGACAGGCGTGTCGCTGCCGGGAACAAAGTCAATAGTGCCCTGACTGCGTTAGTCAAAAGGCAAGGCGTAGTGAATAGTTCACGCCTTGCAATACATAACGCAGTGTAGGTATCGACTTTGTTATATGGCAGCGAAACCTGGGTATGCCAGAGGAAGCATAAAAGCAAGTTGAATGCAGTGGAGATGCGATCTCTTTGTAAAATGTGCGGCGTTACCATGGCCGACCGAAAGCGAAACGAAGAGATTCGCAATATGACAGGTTTGAAAGATGACCTTATCTCAAAAATTGATAAGGGCGTGCTTCGGTGGTTTGGGCACGTTGAGCGAATGAGTGAAGACCGAATGGTGAAGAAAATATATAGCGCGAAAGTTAATATTAAAAGGTGTCGAAGTAGACCGAGACTAACTTTCGAAGAACATGTGAGCAAATTGCTCGAAGAGGGTAGGGTCAAGAGTACTCGGATACCTAGACGTGCATGTATGAAGAAGATAATGAATCTGAAAGAAGCGAAAGAGGTATGTAAGGATCGTGACACTTGGCGATCTGTTCTCTCTGTCTACCCCGTCAGGGATTGTGCGTGAAGATAAGTAAGTAGTATAATACGATATAGGTAATATGAATGCAAGTAAAATATACCTTAAAATCATAGTTAATCACAGAAGTTAAGATAGCTTCATCGCAAATAGTTTTATTAGTTTTACATACATCGAAAAATAGATTAGCTATTTTTTTTCGAAAATTACTTTTGGTAGAAATATGTTTATTTGTCGTACACACAATATTATTTAAAAATTACTACAACTACTATCTAGTTTATAAAACAAAACCTTAATTTGTTTAAACATTAAGAAGAACAATTTTAATTTTACGTAGGTTTATATAGTTATAACTTTAAGCTTCACTGCCTTTATAAAAGAAAAGAAAAACTAACACTTATTAATAATACCGAACGACTATATATATAGTCGTGGGGGCTATACCACACTACAGAGGAGTTCAGTCACATACACACGGACAGTAGAACCATATAATATAAATATAAAGATTTTTAAAATATATTATAGGATACATGAGAATGTCCCGCGACCAACGCTAACTAATTATTTATGCCAAAATATCCTATATTCGACCCGCCCTGGCTTCGCGCGGGTGATTTCTGGATATCGACAACAGTGACACCTTCTTCGGTAAAGCAATTTCGGACTCTATTGGGGCATTTAAAGAGCAATTAATTGGCTTACAGTTTAATTTTAAAAAGTAAATATTTTTTTAATAGCAAAATTTAATTTTCGATAATTGAATTTTTTAAATATTAATTATAAATTAACTAAAAGCAACAGACATAGAACAATTACAGATTCTATTGGAGAATTTAAGCAGCAATTATTTGGCCTACAGTTTAATTTTAAAAAGTAGATATTTTATGCTTTATAGCAAAATTAAATTTTTTATATTTAATTTTTTAATTAATTATAAATTATCTAATAGCTTGAGAGGTGGAGCAATTTCAGATTCTTCCGGAGCATTTAAGGAGCAATTAATTGGCTTACAGTTTAATTTTAAAAAGTACATATTTTTTTAAGAGCAAAATTAAATTTTCGATTATTATTTTTTTTAACTAATTATAAATTAACTAATAGCAATAAAGGTAGGGCAATTTTGGATTCTACTCGAGCATTTAAGGAGCAATTAATTGGCTTACAGTTTAATTTTAGAAAGTAGATATTTAGTGTTTAATAGTAAAATGAAATTTTTGATAATTTAGTATTTTAAAAATTAATTATAAATAAACTAATAGCAATAGATGTGTAACAATTTCGGATTCTACTGGAGCATTTGAGGAGCAATCAATTGGCATACAGTCTAATTTTAAAAAGTAGATATTTTATGTTTAATAGCAAAATTAAATTTTTGTTAGTTAATTTTTTAAAAACTTCATTATAAATTAACTGTTAGCAATAGAGGTGGAGCAATTTCGGATTCTACTGGAGCATTTAAGGAGCAATTAATTGTCATACAGTTTAATTTTAAAAAGTAGATATTCTATGTTTTATAGCAATATTAAATTTTCTATAGTATTTTTTATAAATTAATTATAAATTAACTAATAGCAATAGAGGTGGAGCAATTTCGGATTCTACTGGAGTATTTAAGGAGCAATTAATTGGCATACAGTTTAATTAAAAGAAATAATGTTCTACTCTAACTTCCTTTCGGTGCACGATTGTGCAATTGTTGATAACTTTTATTCATACCAATTGCATCAATTGTATTACTCATCTATAAATTATCAAAAAAGATGGAAAATTTTCCATGATTCATAAGTCACGGTTCTATTTCAAACATTATCCTTATCTATATCTATACTAATATCATAAATAGAGAGTGCGAATTTTGTGAGTTTGTATTTATGTGGAGGGTTATATCCGGAACCACTGCACCTATTTGAATATTTCTTTCTCCATTTGAAAGGTACATAATTCCGGTTGTATATAGGCTATATATTATGTGTATATATTTAAGTTATGATTTAAAGTTTTCATGATATTTGTCAACAAAGTCGGAAAAAGTTGTGCCTTTTGAGAGCTTACACAGCGTGCGATGCATCAATGTTTAAAGTTGGACGAAAATAATGTGTAGCTGAATTGTTTCTCTTAAAAGGTTCTTCGAAAAAGTCTGCAACAGCATATGTCTATCTTCTAAGGATAACTCACAATCTATACCAAATTATAAAGAGTGCGAATTTCAAGAGTTTGTATATATGTGGAAGGTAATCTCCGGAAACACTACACTTATTTGAAAATTTCTTTCATAATTTGAAAGGTACATTATTCCAGGTTGACATAGGCTATTTATTATGTGTACATATATATATATATATATAATATGGCTAAGAATTGTGATGATATTTATCAACTAAGTTTGAAAAAGTCGTGCCTCTTGTGAGCTTTCACAGCGTGCACTGCATCAATAGGTAAAGTTGCATTATAATAATCATCATCATCATTACAGCCCCTCAAAAATCCATTGCTGAACATAGGCCCCCCCCCCAAGGAGTGCCACAAAGCACGGTCCTGAGCCACCTGCATCCAACGACTTCCTGCATGTCTTACCAGGTCGTCACTCCATCTAGTGGGGGGACGCCTTACACTTCGTCCGCCGGTAGGACGCCGCCACTCGAGAACCTTTTTTCCCCATCGGTTGTCGGTTGTTCGAGCTATATGGCCGGCCCATTGCCACTTCAGCTTACTAATCCGTTGGGCTATGTCGGTCACTCTAGTTCTACTACGGATATCCTCATTTCTAAGTTTATCACGCAGAGAAACACCGAGCATAGCCCTCTCCATAGCTCGCTGAGTGACTTGAGCTTCCTCATCCGGCCAGCAGTTAAGGACCACGTCTCAGTTCCATAGGTCATCACTGGCAACACGCACTGGTTGTACAGTCTCGTTTTTAGGTTTTGAGGTATACCTGACGAGAAGATGTGGCGTAATTTCCGAACGCTGCCCAACCGAGTTGAATCCGTTGATTGACCTCTCGGTCGAAGTTGGACTTACCTAGTCGGACTATTTGTCCCAGCTAAACATACTCGTCAACAACTTCGAGCTTAGTGCTCCCAATAACTACCGGCATAGGTGTGACAAGGACATTAAACATGATCTTTGTTTTGTCCATGTTCATTTCTACGTAAGCAAAGGCTTTCCCATAGTCCACATACGCCAGACATAGTGGCAAATTGTACTCCTCGGACTTCTGTACAATTTTCCGAAGGGTATGTATGTAGTCTATGGCGCTAAAGCCTCTTCGGAAACCGGCTTGTTCGGGAGGCTGGAAGTCGTCAAGTCTGCGCGCGAGATGATTCGTAATGACTCTCGAAAACAGCACGTAGACGCGTTTCAGAAGGGAAATCGGTCTGTAGTTCTTCAAGAGAGCGTTGTTGCCTTTCTTGAAGAACAAGACCACCGCACTTCTGCTCCACGCCTCCGGTGTAATGCCACCATGAAGGACGGAATTAAAGAGCTTCTGAAGGACTTCAAGTACCGGTTTTCCACCCGCTTTCAAAGCTCCGCTGTAATTCCATCCTCGCCTGGGGCCTTGCCGTTTTTAAGGTGCTGGAGAGCCATTCTAATCTCGCTCAGACTGACGTGCGGGATATCATCGGAATAATGTCGGATAAGACTCGCTCTTGGATCGTTACTCACACTTGCGTGTGGCTCCAACGATGATGTGTACAGCTGCCCATAAAACCTCTCAATATCACTCAAAATCTCAGGTGTCCCGGAAATGACGCCGCCACACTCGGTCTTCAGCTTCGACAGTTAGCTCTTTCTGGCAGACAGATCTCTAGCAAAGACTTTGGAGCCCTGGTTCCGCTCGATCGCTTCTTCAATGCGAGCATAATATTGCTCGTATTAAAGTTGCGTAAGTCCCGCCGCATGCATTTGGAGATCTGTATATTCAGTTTCCTGTATGCTGTCAAATCTACTGAAGACTGCAGCTTCATATCCCGTCTAACAGCCATGAGATTAAGAGTGTGATCGGAGAGTTTTTGTGTTCTTCTGCGGCGGGTCCTTGCAAAACTTAACTTTGACTGAATGGACAGTTTCCACGAGCTTGTCATTCATATCGTCCACTGCAACGCAATCTTCTAGGCACTGAAAACGGTTTCGTAGCTCGAGCTGAAAGGTTTTGGGACTTTGGATTAGAGCACGAGGGGGACGGAGCGTTGACTTCATTAGACGTGACCTCTCCAACTTAACGTTTAGGTTCAGTGTGCCTCTCACCATTCGGTGATCGCTGCCGGATTTCACCCTCGCGATCACGGAGACATCACTGAACAGTTGTCGTATGGTCGTCATAATGAAGTCAATCTCATTTTTTGTGGAACCGTCGGGGCTCGACCAGGTCCACTTCCTGTGGGGCCGCTTCTGAAAGAAAGAGTTCATCATAAAGAGTCCCTCTTTCTCCATAAAGTCGGCCAGCTGCTGGCCTCTTGTGTTCCGTTGCCCTATTCCAAGTTTCCCTACTTTCAGCTCACTGTTCTCTGGTTTTGGAGGAATGCATGGGTCTAGAGATATCCTCATACATTTCCTCCACCTCTTCATCGGGGTGTACCGAGGTTGGTGCGTAAACCTGTATGACCTTCAGCGAATACCGTTTGGTGATTCTGAGTATAAGGTACGCAACCCTCGTCGACGCACTCTCAATCTTTACAACGTTGTTAACGAGAGACTTGTGAACGATAAATCCGACACCTCCTTGGGACAGATGGTCGCCCTCCCGGTGATAGAACAAGTTGCCGGATTCCAGGATTACCGTGTCCTCCCCCTCTCTTCGGACCTCGAATAATCCTATGATATTCCAGCGCAACTTGTCTATCTCTTCTTCCAGCTCCAGGATCTTCCCGTTAGTCCTCATGGTGCGTGCGTTATAAGTTGCCAGGTCGAGTCGTCGTAGGTGGCAACCGAACCTCCACCGGAGATTCTTAGCACCACTTGCCCCGCCGTTACCATGGTCGCCACTGGTGGCCGCCGGGGACTGGGGGCCGTCTCTTCGTTGCTCTCATGGGGGGTATTACCATAGTTGCCACGCTTTGCGAGCGGTTTGGCAACCGCAGTTTTATTTTATTGCTGTTTTGCTATTATCAGAAAGATGCTGCTGCCCATCCTCTGCCTCAGTTTCCCTCTGTCGCCTCTTACGACACCCACGGGAAGACATGGGGTAGTGAGTATTTTTCCCCGCCACTACACGAGGGATATAAATAACATATATAAATAACATTTTGTTTTTCACTGAACTCCTCTTAAAAGGTCACCCATGAGGACTAAGATGGAATGCCCCTTTTCCAGTAAAAAGGGTCTCCGGTTCTCTACACTCACCATACAAAACACAAATAAAATGTGTATATATATACAAAATTTTATTTGCGAACTTTTCATTTTTTCACTTTATTAAAATAATGGCATCTTCAAACACATACCTAACAGGGTTATCGATGAAGTCAGGGAACCACACGCGATCTGGACTCCAATTCTTCAGACGTTTATTGTTTGATTCGTAACGGTCATGATGTTTCCATTCATTGAATACCTCGTCGGTAGGATGCCAGCGCGGTTCACCATGATCTTCAAAAACTATGCCATGGTCTCTATCAAAATGTCCTTTATGTGAATGATGCCAGCTTCGACCATTAGTCTTCGGACTAAAGAATAAAGATATTACTGAAAGTAAATCATATTATGTAATTACAGTATTTATTTGTTTATCTATATACCTTATATATCCATACAATAGTGTACAAAAGACGGACTTCATTACAGAGTAAATTTCCTCCTAGTCTACATCGATTTCAAACAGAAAATATATATTATAGGGTACAAAGAGACAAAAAAATAACAGTAGTAACAGTACAATATAACCAAACGAACTTACGAAACTCTCGAAATTCGAAACATACTAACTACACATAAATAAATAATTAACTTTCCGGATTTAAATTATTAAAGTGAGTTTAAATAATGATTCAATTGATTTTCAGTCATCTGAATTTAATAATATGTAAGTGGACAATAATTAACCAAATTCCAATGACGAGAAGGTTCTAATTCGATGACTATATTTTAATGTATGTTGACTGATTTCTCTCAAACGGCTGAACCATTCTTAATGATTCTTCTTTTATTAAATAGTTTATACTACAGTTGTAGTCCCATATAAATTTTGAGATAAAATTTCACCCCTGAAGGTGGAAAATAGGAGATAATAACTATATAGCTATATACACGTCTTTCTAGTTGTAAAATAACTAAGCTTTTAAACGTAAAACGGCTAAGATATGGGTGTATCGATTGAAAGATATTTTTTTTTTGTTTTGAAGTCTTTTTTTTTACTTTTTTAAGTTTAATTAGGTATAAAATAAAGGTGAGATACGAGCACACAGTTCACCTGATGGCAGTAGACTAACTAGATGGTGTAGCCCATACACATCTACATCTATCCTCAATTAAGTATCAAAATGCAGATGCGTTGTCACCCTTACAATTCAATGCCTTGTTTCCAGTAAAACGGGACTCCGGTTCTCTTAGTACACTCACCATACGAAACTGTTATTTTACATTAGTATTCTGTGTGTACGTAGTCCTTCCCCGGTCGAGCCGACCCATTCGTGCTACAACCATAATACAGCCACAGCAGAAGAGCCACTACCACGTAAATATTCATTTAGCAAGAGTGAATAGGCTTTTGTTACGATAAGTAGTGCGATTTACCATCTAAGGCTGCATCACCACTTACCACCAGGTGGGATTGTGGTCAAGCACTGACTTATAATAAGTAAAAACAAAAATAGTAGCTTGCCAAAAAGATGTCAATTAAATGTAATATAGTATTTTATCCCAAAATAACAGCCCACCCCGCATTGCTTGGATGGGATATATAAGACAATACATATTTTTTAAATTGTTAGTCTATAATATAAAAATGAATCGCTGAATGTGTTGCTAAGCGCAATTCTCGAGAGCAGCTGAACCGATTTCGGTAATTCTTTTTTTATAATATATCTTGAAGTACGAAGATGGTTCTTACGGAGAGAAAAATTTAAAAAATTGCCTGAAAAAGTCTAAAAACAACACTTTTCTATATTCCCATACAAAAGATTCGTAATAATACTTAAAAGTTAATTTGAACTTTAATACCATACCATAAAGTTTAAGTGTTAGTGAAGGGGTTCCGGAAAGGCAAAACAATTCAGTGACGTTAGTATACGTAATACTAATGTCAATATTTGTCAATTAGAATAAGTAAAAATAAAATGAAATATAATAAGTAGGTATCATAATAAGAAATCAGAGATTGTAATTTGCATTGTGATTTTTTAGTGACTATTAAAAGAATTTTAAGTGTTTAATAATTTTTTTTGACATAATGTAATTGTTGACTTATTAACTTTTTTTATACTTTTTTATTTTACTAGCTGACCCGGTGTCCCGAATACCAGAATAAGTATTAAAAAAAAATTAAAGAATCGACTGTTAGGTAGTACGAAGTTCGCCGGGTCAGCTAGTTTTTTAATAAAAGCAAGATTTTCAGATAACATAACATAGCTTAGATCCTTCCTCGTGTTGCTCTCTATATCACAATCGGTCCAGCCATTCTGAAGCGGAATCGGTTCAGCCCGGACATGCAGACTGTGTTGTCTGACTGTCTATCTGTCTGTTTGTCTGTCTGACAAACAGACAGATAGACAGTCAGACAAATGCTTTAAAAATGATTGCTTATATCTTAAGAGCATGCAAATAATTTATTAGAAGCCAGTTATTTCAATATTACAGACACTTAAATTTTTATACATACATAAAAAAATCATACTAATACATAAATAAACAAACAAAGAACTAGGTTAAAGAAATTAGCTCAATTAACATAAGTATGACAAATAATAATAATTATTTAGCATTAGGTAACAACAGTGCTATAAGGTGCTAATATCTGTTACAAAATATCGGATACACATATTAAAATAAATATTCTCCTTAATATTTTCTTTTTCTTTTCAGAAATGGATTTTGCGTAATGGTATATTTAAAATTGTTATGAAGATTTTTTATGAAATTTTATACTCATACAGGGTTTTAATTTTGAGAAAATCAAACTTACTTAAGAATAAAGATTATAGTTATGAGATAGTTTCTTTCGCATTGGCGTTAAGTATAAATTAAGTATACTAATTCGACGCAATAAACATTTTAAGTTAAAACCAAAAAAAAAACTTTATTACGAAAATAATATTCAATTAAATATAAGAAAAAAAATGTGCAGCTTACCTAAAAACATTACAATTTTATCCATAATTGATTTTAATCTTTCCAGGACTTTACCACTAGGTAGTGTTCTGTATCAGGTCACTCAATCGCTGTAACCAAATAATTTGAGAATCCGTACGACTCGATAAGTTGCATGGTTGATACAGGACAAAATCGACGTGATCTTAACGTATATATTACTTGTATAATGTCCCCTCCTTCCCTCGCTAACCTAACCACCCATAAACGTGTTTCTCAGACTCACAAGAACATGGTGACTCAGTGTGTTAGTAAACCTTTTCCACAGTTACATTTGCATGCATCGGAATACAAGCCTTAGAATTCACCTTACAGTAAGGTGAATCCTGTGTCTGCAAATTCTGTTTGTAATGCATCTTAAGAAGGAGTGATATTATATTATTTTGTTTAGTTATTTGTGTTTTCGCTTTGGAATGTTAAGTACCTACATAATATTTTCATATTAACGAGCAATGTTGTGGTAACATAAGAGAAAAAATAATAAGGAATAATAGAATTGTGGAACAGTTTGTTGCGCTGATCCAGTGTGAGATGTCGGACTTCACATAACTTCGAAATATTTGTTTTCCTCGGTCATGCAGGTAACCAACGTGTATAAGTGGTAAATCAACGCATAAAATTGCAATTTACAGTTTTAGTGGTGCCGACGGATGTTCAAGTCGGGTTGCTCGCATTACTATGAAATTTACGGCATACTGGCATACATAATCCTTGAGCTACGTCAGCTCTTCATGACATACTGATGTTCTCGAAAAAAGTTTCATTCATTTTATTGAGAAGAACTAATTATCCGTATTCAAATAACTATAAAATACGTAAAAATAGACTTATGTGTATACGGATTACCTAATTTATCTTGATCATTTTAGCTTTTATTAAATTCATTATTTTATAAGCAATCATAATTTATAAGTATTACGTAGTTTTTGTAAATTATTAAATAACTTTTATTATATGCCACATATATACTATGCTACTTAGATACCTTACGTGATATCATAATACATTTAACACTAGCGACCCGCTGTGCCTTCGTCTGGGTAAGATCTAATAATATAACATTATTTAGATTTAAGATGGCAAAGACTGGCATTAACAATTTATCGTATTTTTTTAAATTTTAAGATATTGGGATAATATATAGCCTTAATTACTCTTGGCATTGCTCTCTATCTATTTGTTTAGTATTATTACGATTAGTTAAGCCATTCCGAACATTAGCTCGAACAGACAGACAGACACTTCAATTTTATTTATTTGTAAGTATAGAATACAGCGAGATCAAGGATCTTATTGGTATTTCTCGCGCGTAAGTTACGCTCGATAATCTAAATCCGTCTCGTAAAGGACATTGCCATTTATAATAGTGAAAAAGTAAAAGGATATTGATTCATAGGTACTGATTCATAGGCATTATCTGCGGATTTTTGCTTATCAGTTTAAAAACGCGTGTTAACAATTATCATTGAAGCGAATAATAATTTTTATCCCGACAGTTTACAAAAGACGTTTTCATACGTGGTAGAGCCATGCTGCATCTATATTATGGTTGTAGCACGAATGGGTCGGCTCGACCGGGGAAGGACCACGCTCTCACAGAATACCAGCGTAAAATAGCAGCTTAACGCTGCTGTGTTTCGTATGGTGAGTGTAGAGAACCGGAGACCCTTTTTACTGGAAACGAGGCATTCCATCTTAGTCCTCACGGGTGACAACGCATCTGCATTTTGACTCTTAATCGAAGATAGATGTAGATGTCTATGGGCCACAGCGACCACTTACCATCAGGTGGACTGTGTGCTCGTTTGTCATCCTTATCCTATAAAAAAAAAAGAAATCAACAATTAACATAATTTTTTTATTTAACAAATTTTATGTTATTTATTTTGAATTATATTTAATTTCCGACGTTTCGGGACACTGATGCGTTTGACGTCCTGATGTTGTAGTTAACCCAGGCTACCATCAGATTTTGGATATTATTTTTGGCCTGATCTGCGCGATATACTTGGGGTGTGATTTAATTTTATTAATTAGTATCATATCTTATCGGGCCATATATGTCATAATTTAGATTTAAGGTAATCAACGAAGACCAATTATTTTATAAATTTTTCGATTTCACAAAAAATGTCCAAATCTTTTTGATGAAATATAGCCTAGATCTATGTTTCAGCACAATCGGTTTAACCATTCCGAAGGTAGAAAATTTAAGAAGAAGGGAAGCCCGGATAAACAGATAGAAAAAAATAATAAAAATGGTTATTCATGTCTTTACGGCGTGCAAGCAATCCCCTGAGCTTAATAGAAGCAGTTATTTCTACATTAAATACATCAATAGCTCTGTATATCATACAGAGCTATTGACGTGCACTGACTTTGCCTTGGCAATGACACTTTTGAAGGACCTGGAGGCGGAATTATACTTCTTTTTAAGAGCGCTGGTGTTTACATCCCGGGACGTTGATGCGTCAGCCCAGGCACGTTAGCACTCCTGCTTATAGCGTGATGCTATTTTACAGGAGCGACTAAACCATGGCTGGGATCTGCCTCCGATGGGCACCACAGAGGATGGAATAAAAAGTTCCATATTCTGAAGTACCACATCAGCAACAGAATCGGCAACAACGCTGGGATCTTCCAGCGAGAAGCAAACTCGCTCCCAAGGGTAGGATGCAAAAAAGACCGCATCCCGTCCCAATCGACCGACATTAGTGCCAAACACGGCGGCAAGCTGCAGATCGCAACTGCGATGGGAGCGTGAGTGGCACCGTACTCCGGATCAGACAATGGTCCGAAGAGCCCAGAGGGGCATCGACGGAGACCTAAAATCGGTCCGGATTCCTCCTGCTGACCTCTCGTCAGCAGAAGGTCCAACAGGGAAGGTACATGATCCTCCACATCTGGGATCCGCGTAGGCGAAGTAATCAGTTGTGTTAGACCATATGCCAAGGCAAAGTCATACACAGATCTACCCGCATGATCGGTTAAACGGGAACCAAGCCATTCAGCGTGGTGGGCGTTAAAATCACCGAGTATCACGATCTCTGCGGATGGGACCTGTTGTAGCACGGAGTCTGCAGCCATTTGGACGAATAGCGATGAGACTGTGTCGGCATTACCGCTGTAACTGTACAATTAATTCAAATAATGTCTTAATTGAAAATAGTCTACAATAACAGGCACCTGAACAAGGATAAACGTGTATCTCAGGTGTATGTGCTAATAGATACATTTACAAATATTTTCTGTTTCTTATATAAAATGAATAACTTACCAACTAATTACGGTTAATTCGGTAAAATATATTATCATTAATTTACTTAAAATTTTATTTATTAGCTTAAAACAAACAGCAGCTTTTCCGTAACATCGTATGACAAATTTTGTAACCATGTCCGAATTACATTTTTACAATCTGCCATTTTTAATGGATATATGTACAAAATTTCATTGACTTGATTATACAGAAAAGGGCCCAGGAATGTAAAAAATCTATGCATGAAAGATTGCCTTATTCTAATGTTAGTTTCAATGGCTTTATATTTGCGTCTTAAAATATACGTTAGCAATTATTTCGTATGATTGTCGTTTCATTCTTCATTACAGTCCACTGTTGAACATAGGCCTCCCCCAAGGAATGCCACAAAGCAAGGTCCCAAGCCACCTGCATTCATTGACTTTCTGTATGTCTTACCAGGTCGTCACTCCATCTACTGGGGGGACGCCCTACACTTCGCCTGCCGGTACGAGACTGCAACTCGAGAACCTTTCTTACCCATCGGTCAGTTCTTCGAGCTATATGGCCAGTCCATTGCCACTTCAGTTTACTAATCCTTTGAGCTATGTCAGTTACTCTGGTTCTACTGCAGATATCCTAGTTTTTAAGTCTATCACGCAGAGAAACGCTGAGCATAGCCCTCTCCATAGCTCCATAAACGACTTTGAGCTTCCTCATGCGGCAAACAGTGAACGACCACGTCTCAGATCTATAGATCATCACTGGCAACAGGTGCTGGTTGTACAGTTGCTAGTTTTCAGGTATGCCTGATGAGAAGATATGTGGTAATCTCTCGAACGCTGCCCAGCCGAGTTGAATCCGTCGATTGACTTCTCGGTTGAAGTTAACGACGGCATAGGTGTGACATGGACGCTAAACATTACATTTGCATTTATTTATTCCACCTCCTCATTGGAATGTGCTGATATTGGTGCATAGACCTGTATGATCTTCAGCGAATACCGTTTGGTAATTCTGAGCATAAGGTACGCAACCCTCGTGGACACACTCCCAATCTTTACAACTTCGTTAACAAGAGACATGTGGACTATAAATCCGACACCTCATTGGGACAGATGGTCGCGCTCCTGGTGATAAAACAAGTTGCCGGATGCGAGGATTACCGTGTCCTTCCTATCTCTTTGAACCTCGGATAATCCTATAATACTCCAGCGCAACTGCTCTACCTCTTCTTCTAGCTCCAGGATCTTCTCGTCTGTCTTTATGGTGCGTGCGTTATATGTTGCCAGATCGAGTCGTCGTAGTTGGCAACGACACCCACGGGAAGATATGGGGTAGTGGGTATTCTTACCCGCCACTACACGGTTGTCTTGTAACTTATTTATTTATCCCTCATTTTAACGTTATTATTTGCATATCATTCTTTGTTATTCCATTCCTAAAATTTACATGTAGCTTTACTCCCCATATTATGTAGAGTTCTATCGTCATCTGTCCACAGCTGAACATATGCCTCATTCATAGATTGTTCCATAAGGCTATTTGTTTCCTTCAGTCGCCTTTTCTGCCGACTTCCAAAAACGAGACGGTACTCAATTCGACTGTATGTTTTTTTTAATGTGTGTAACCTCATAAATTTTTACTCGGTGAACCGAATTGGATGATTCTTTTTTTATTTGAAACCTGGTACTTCTCCTGTGGTCCCTTATGAATTTGATCAATGTTAGACCAATAGTTTTTGAGTTATTCTTAATAACTTATATTGAAGTCGGCCGTACAACATTTTTAATTTTAAACTAGCTGACCCGGCGAACTTCGTACTGCCTAATAGTCGATTATTTTTTTTTTAATACTTATTTTGCTATTCGGGGCACCGGGTCAGCTAGTAAGATAAAAAAAGAAAAAAGAAAGTATGATAAGTCAACAATTACATTATGTCAAAAAATTAAAATTATAAAACACTATTGACAAATATTGACATTAATATTTGTACGATACTAACGTCACTCAATTGTTTTGCCTTCCCGGAACCCCTCCACTAACACTTAAACTTTATGGTATGGTATTAAAGTTCAAATTGACTTTTAGTATTATTACGAATCTTTTGTATGGGAATATAGAAAAGAGTTGTTTTTGGACTTTTTCAGGCAATTTTTTAAATTTTTCTCTCCGTAAGAACCATCTTCGTACTTCAAGGAATATTATAAAAAAAAGAATTAGCGAAATCGGTTCAGCCGCTCTCGAGATTTGCGCTTAGCAACATATTCAGCGATTAATTTTTATATTATAGATTATACGAAACCCACAGGACGATCCAGGGTAGTTGATATTTTTATATGAATATTCCTGCACCAGGAAACTGAAACAGGAGATGGGCAGCAGCACGTTACTGATAATATATCAAAATAAATAAAAAAACTGCGTTTGCGAACTCCCCAGCCAAGCATGGAAACTTTGGAAAAATCCCTCCTACGAGTAGAAATGCCAGATCGGAAGACCAAAATATTCGGACGAATTTTGGGGTTGTTGTTGGGAGACTGAATATTAAAAATAAAAAATATATTTTTTTTAAATTTATTATTATATGGGCCTATTAGGCTACAAAAAGACTCAACATTGTTAACATATAAGTAATTTAAATACACTTAATTTTTAGGTTGACATATGTATTTGGCACTAGACATTACTGAGTCCACCAATTTGGATCCTTCAATAAATACTCAGAAAAGATTTAAAATTCAAACAATTTACATCAAAGTTCAGTTTAAGTACTAACTCAGCCTTTATTAAATCAAAGGCAGCTTGATATGAAGAGAAGTTGTTTGTCTGGAGATTTTGATTTTTGTCGGGAATCTGGAGATCATTTTAAAATGTCGGGAGAATCTAGACGAATCCCGACCATCTGGCAACCTTATCTATGAGACAATCTATGAGGAAAGCCTAAATTCAGCTGTGGACTTATTTAAATGAATGGATGGATATACTTACGTTGTACGAGAAAAGAATCTGCCTATAAAAGTAATAATAATAATTAATAATTATTAGCGATATAAAAATAAATACAGACGTGAAAATATCATTTTTTTAAATGTAGGTACACAACTAATACGAGTACATTACCGTTACAGGATATTGAATTCCGCTGCTTAACATAGGCCTCCCTCATAGATTGCCTCATAGGGTTTATATTTGGGGGATATATTTGCCATTGGCCAAAAAATGGTTGCCAACCCACTTGGCAAGTGGGTTGGCAACCATTTTTTTTTATTTTTAGTAATGACTTTTAGGAAAACGCTGCTGCCCATCTTCTGATTTGTTTCCCTCGGTCGCCTCTTACCACACCCACGGGATGATATGGGGTTGTAGATTCTTACACCGCCGCTACTAATACATTATTTTAACCAAATTTTTAAAGTACTTTGAAATGAAAACATGAAACTATATATAATGCCTTATTACGATTTATTTAATTGTTCTGTTGCAATTGAATAATTAGATGCATCAGAATCAGGACCGCAAAATGCCATCCATAAAGTACTTGTGCCATATACTTAGACCAATAAGCACTTGCTTTATTTTACTCAATCAATATTATGTATTTATTTAGTCAGTGCTTAATAATAATAAGTAGCTTGTCATTGTTTATCTGTATGGTTATTAATTGATGATTATAACATTTTATGGAATTTGTTCAAATATCTTATAGTGTATAGATATTAAATGATATAACAATGTTAATATTAGTTAAAAATTTTAGGACTAATTTCTGACCAATTCCGATGAGTGTTTGATTTTGAAAAAAAAAATACACCTCTATACATAATGTTAGTGTCGTTTATAAGGATCATTCTGAGAATTAATCTTAAATGGCAAACTAAAGGAAATTCATTTTTAAGAAAACACGATTATATATATAAAGAATTTTTCTTTCATTAATTGAATTTTAAGTTTAATTTTATCTATACAATTTTTCGAAATAATGTCCATTGTTTTCAATACATAGCGGAACTCGATGTCTCAAGGATTATACTGCATCACAAGACTCTTGACTTCGATTGGAATATTTTCTAAAGATCGTTTCAATTCAAATTTCGAGTGGAGGAGGGGTAAGAGATACAATCACCACATTTCGTCACATGGGTGTCGTAAGAGGCAACTATGGGATAAGCCAAAGAGATCTTATAACTTTTGATAAATGACGGTAGGTCTATCTCGTTTACGCAAGGCGTGAAACACCTAAACCGGCGACCGGGTGACGTGTTAAAAGTGCGAATCGTCTGGTGCAATGATCGACAAGCCGCCTGCCAAGCGTGATTAGATGATTAAGGCAGAACAGGAGAAGCCCATGTTCAACAGTGTACTTTCACGGGCTAGTAAAGAAAAAGAAGAAGGGGAACATGATGCTGTCAAAGCATCAAGTATTGAGGGTTGTCGGGGCTGTGGCTCACGAAGTTAAGTCGTCTATTTACACCCTTATCAAGTAATTTTATATAATGTTATGTATATTGCTGCTGTTTTGATTGGGGGTAACGTAGACCAGAGACTCGATACATACAACTGCCGTAGAACATGCCGCAATGTACAGCTAATTTTGCCCGAATTCAATGGACTTGTAATCTTCATCCATATCTACGTATCGGGGCAAATTCCTTGATTGGCTTATTAAAAATTGTTTGACAGGCATCAATGATGATGATGAAACAAGTGAAATAAATAAAAAATATTACGTTCTGTCAAAATACTTTATTTCTTCATGTCTTACTTGTTTTATCTGTTTACAATTATACAAAATAAGAGCACTAATTAGCTTAACCTAGAGGAGCAGCGGTTGTAGTAGACGGACACGGAGACGATCGAAGCATATTCACAGCTGAAAAAAAAAAGTTTAGATTACAATTTAAATTATAGGAATTTTTACATGGGATATTTATTCATAATATACAATTTTATCTCGTATACTACAATTAAAGGTCCTTTTAGAAGTCTTTATTAACAATAGATGCGAATGTGTTACGAAGGCATATCCTCATCATTTATATATTAGGGCGCTTTCACAAAAAGTGCATAAGATTCTAACGTTTTCATAATATACATGGCAGAGCCCCGCTATAACTGTATTGTGGTTGTAGCACGAATGGTCGGCTCGACCGGGTAAGGACCACGCTCTCACAGAATACCAGCGTAAATTAGCAATTTTATACTGCTGTGTTTCGTGTGGCGAGTGTAGAGAAATGGAGATCCTTTTTACTTGAAACAAGTTATTCTAACTTAGCCCTAATCTTAAATCATCAAAACGCATCTGCATTTTGATTCTTAATCGAAGATAGATGTATGTCCACGAGCCATAGCACCCACTTACCATCACTTGGACCGTGTGCTCGTTTGTCATTTAATCTATAAAAAAATACACTGAGCACACAATCGGTATCAATCGGAATTTTTGTCACATGGGATTACAATAATAGCCATAAACAGCGTCTACACAATTAAAAAAAAATACTGTTGAAGTGATGAAAAATGCACGACTTACTCTCGATTTTACACAATACTCGTATAAGATTTTACATACACATTACAATTTGCACTGATATTCCGTACTGCATTTCAAGCCAAATTCCTCGTAGACCCATGCTAAACAAAGATATTTTATATACTAAAAGTTAGGACTAACGTTGGACCTACATTATAGCTTCCCTATGGTAAAAACGTGTAATAAGTAGCAAGACAATTTAGATAGATATCTTAACGACTTATTGTCTGCTTTTAAGCAAAAAATACAAGTATCATTTGTAAACATAATATAAATAGATATAGAATGTTTCGTTCGGACAGAAAAACATATAAGAAAGAACTTCAACTAAGTAAACAAAAACGAAAAAAACATAGCTAATCGTTGGAGGATTACAAAGATTGTTGCCCTGATACTGAGCCTCTGTTACTAACCCAAATCTTAACAATTCTTGGCATTTGCTTGTTTGTATGTATTTATTAATAAAAAATGACTCTATTGAGACTTCTTACGCAACAGTTAAATATTATTGCTTTTTACGAATTATTTTTTATTTATATTTTATTTCCACCAATAATATACTTAACGATAGACTAAATACCGAATGCATTTCTACCTTTAAGTTAAACAGAGAGCATAAATGTTCCTATATATTTAAATCTCTTTGTAAATAACAAATGCAAAATGTATACGTCACTAAAGTTCAAAACATTTTTGTTTTTAAATTACATCTGGTCAAAGTAAGTGGTTTGTAATCGTCATCGAATCGAACAAAAACATGTTAATTTTCACACGTTCTTCAATAAAATATAACAAATTGACCTTAAAACAATAAAATTCAAAGTTATTGTAAGCCCATATTTTGTCTTATTAAACATTTGTCACTTGAAGAATCAAAAAATCTGACTAACCTATAATATGTAAAACGCTGTGAGCTGTGAGTTTCCCACGAGTACTGACGCAATGTCACAAAATTAAATTCGTAATATTCACCACTACAACATACGTGTGTCTTGTGGGAAAAACTATTGTCTGATAGTTTTATACTGTGACTAGCGATCCGCCCCGGCTTCGCACGGGTGATTTTTTGGGACTCGACAACAGCGCCACCTACCGGATCTAATTGTGAATGTAAACCATCCAGAGACCTACTTAAATGCACACTATAAATATCGAGCAGTTTTTGAGTTTTAGTGAGACTAACGGACAGCAATATATATATATAGATTACTTCTTCGTGTCGTCATGTTTGTAATTTACCTAGGAAAAGGGATTGAGCGTTATCCTAGCGCTGAGCGCTAAAAAAGACGAAGCGACAGTCGTTGACCAGTTTGCAACAATAGGATGTCGATCGCATCGCGTCGTGTCGTGTCGTAATTTATTGCTTTCCCCACTTGCCAAGGAAAAAGGCTAGCGACGTTTTGTTACGCTGATTTACTATGCAATTGTAAAAATAAAATAACAGCCGTTAATCTCTGATGAACATTACGATATATTGGATGGGCCAAATTAAGAGTATCCTAAACCAACGAGCATGTATGCATAGGTATATAGATGTGAAAGAAACGAGAAAAGTGTGTCAAGATTGCGCCAAATAAAGGTCCGTATAATCTCTGCCTAACCCCTATTTGTAACAAACGTGAGAGATTATGTATATAAGTAAAATATTTATCTAACTTATATAAGTAAAATATTTATCTAACGTTGAGAAACTCGTATTCAATACAATGTATGTTACGCGATATCTTCGTCAATTATGAACTGATTAATTTTTTTTTCTTAAATAGGTTCTACTACGTTAGTTTCATATAAATTTGGAGAAAAATTCAAACTCCTAAGGTTGGAAAATAGTTGATAAATAATTCTATTTAACTATTTTTACGACAATGAGATTGTGATACACCTTACTACAAGGATATTTTATTTCTACGCGTTAAATTATCAGCGAAAAATTTTGTAACTTAATTGTAAAATAAATCTGAATTTCATATGACGGATTAAAACGATTAGTTATTACAATATTATAATAGTACTTTTATCCTTCCAAAAAGATGGTAAGCCTACTTAACGCCTAAATAAATACTTAGGCGTCATTCGTGTTGTACAAGTCTCTTGGTAAGATTTTTCCGACGTTTTTATTTGTTTATGATTAATAGTCGCTTCGGGAAATATTCCTCACGCAATCATGAAGATGCGTCGTGACATCTTCATTACAACAATTTGTTATTTACGTTCACAGCATTGTGAACTATGAACATTGATGTTATTTTTATAAAGTACTTTGACGCATCGACCATTTTATTCACTTCCACCATTAAGTAACAATTTTTAGTAGTAAAAGTGACAAATATATTTTGTCCTCGTGAATGTAAGTGAATACATAGACATCAACATTTCCCCTCAATTAAGAATCAAAATAGCAGATACGTTGTCACCCATGAGGACTAAAATGGGATGCTTCGTTACCAGCTAAAAACTAACGGACAGCAATTAATATAAATAGATATTGATACTTACAGACACCACAGCCCTGAGCACACATGAGACGTCCAGGATTGGGGTACGTGACGCCGTTAGACCCGCACACTGGGTTATATTCCGCTGTCACGGGGCAGTTTCTAATGCACTCCTGTACGGTGGGGTTGTTGTCAGCTGACGTTGTAGATCTGGAATGCAATTCAAAGTTTCCTTCATTAATTTATACATTAATTGTAGCCTATCTAAGTCCACCACTGAACATAGGCTTTACCATAAATTGCCTTATAAGGGGGAAATTTACCAAAGTGGGCACGCTTGACAGGCAATTTAGCATCCGCAGTTTTTTTGTTCTAGTTTTTATTAAAACGACGCTGCTGTCCATTTCTTGGTTGTAGAAGTTGGTAATTTTTATAACTGCTGCTTTATGTAATTTTTTTTCGTTAAACTAAAGTGACAAACAAACTTATGGTCCGCCTGATGGTAAGTGGCTACTGCAATCCATGGACACCTGCATCTAACTTCAAATGAAGAAGGCTACATATGTGTCGTTACCTGTAAGGACTAAAATGGGATGTCTCACAACCTGCACTTATACTGGCTCTTAATACACTCCAAACAAGAACACAACAGTGCAAGTTGCACGCAGAAATATATTTATTTAAGTAATTTAATTTATTTATTGTAGTGTCCTAAAGTTGAATAAACATGTTAGTTCTTATTGAGTGAATACTGTGTATTTTTTGATGCACATCTTCAATAAGCAAATAAATAATTAATCTAGGCCAAACAGTCAGAGCTTGTGTAGTGGCTAAGTTTATTTTACGCTTTTCTAAAAAAGTAAATACGATCACTATCAACTTACCCCATTGGATTTTGAGTCGTCTGTTGTCCTTGTCCGGGAAGTCGTCCTTCACCGGAAACTTGCCCTTGACCATTAAACTGTCCTTGGCCGGGAAATTGTCCTTGGCCGGGAAATTGACCTTGATTGGGGAACTGTCCTTGACCTGTAAATTGTCCTTGTCCAGGAAATTGAACTTGACCGGGAAATCGACCTTGATTAGGGGACTGGCCTTGACCTGGAAATTGTCCTTGCCCAGGAAATTGTGCTTGACCGGGGAATTGTCCCTGACCGGGGAATTGACCTTGACCGGATAATGTCCCTTGGTCGGGATACTGTCCAGGATAAGGCCATTGACCTAGAAACCTACGGTCGGGATACAGCATTGACCATTGAGGCTGTCTCTTTCCAAACGCTGATGGTCTGTTCCAACCATATCTATCTTCTAAATCATCCTCAGCATCCTCTGTCTGCCTTTTGCTCCTAAAGTCCGTACTGAAGGCTTTATCCACTATAACAACTGAAAGAGATAAAGAAATAGATTAAAATAATGTACCTACATACTCGTAGTGAAAAGATTGCATTAATACAAGATTGATAAATTGACATAATATCACAAGGAGTAGGGCTATATTGCCAATAATTTCAGTGTTTAGAATTATATTGTAGTAAATATTGTATTGCCGGCCATATGAGGACAGCGAGCTATTTCAGAGTTCTCTATGCTCATAGTTTCTCTGCGTGATAAGATTAACCGTTATAACCCAAAGGACTAGTAAGCTGAAGTGGCAACGGGCGGGCTATATAGTTCATTTCCGACAACTGATGGAGAAGAAAGGTTGTTTAGGTCTGTAAGTGAAGAGTAGGGCTGCTTCTCACTAGATGTAGTCACCCCACTAGAAATCGATTGATGCAAGTGGCTCAGAACCGCGGTTTTAGCATTCCTTGGTGGGAATGGCGTCCCTCTATGCGAGTCGTCCAAATTATAGTTCTTTATCCAAAAAAAACTTTAAAGAAACTTTTGTTAGAGAAATAAATATTCTGTTATTTCAACAGTGTTCGTAGTAAATCAATATGCCGCTGATGCAGAGCTGGCATCAAAGATTATGCAATAATAGTTATTTTTTGCTTTTTTTAAATCTTGAGTTTAGTGATGTTATTTTGGATTACAAAGTGGTAAACATGGTCTTTGAAAAATATAGTCCCTTACAATTTAAAAAAAATACTAAACGCATCATATTCTGATGCGTATGCATCATAATATTCTTAAATGCGATACTTGATAAATACGTAAATAAAAACCGGACAGGTGCGAATCGGGCCTCTATATCGGTCTATTCAAGTTCCGTACATATCCTGACCAACTAATTGTTGTTTTAACAATTATCATTTATTTTGGTCACTACGTACAAGTTACTCATTGAATCGATGTTTTCAGTGTTAGTTGTTTCAATACAGCATAAAATGGAGAACATTATGTATAAAAATTTGAAATGCCTAACTAGTTTAGTTTAATAAGACAAACCTCATTAGAAAAATGGTATAAAACTAACAACATTGACTGACGGTCCTATTTCTTTATTATTGAAAATAAAAAAGAATAAAATATATGTTTGTACTCTACACCAATTGCTCTAGACAAAAACACTACCTATGATGGAGAAAAAAAATTTCAGCTTCTTTTGATGGTACAGGATCTCCCCTGAAAAATATTTTAATGAAATTTCTAATTCAATATTCGGTTTCAGGTCAACATTCTACAGCAAATATCCAAATTTCAGGTTGTTTAGTTACAAAGCGCAGTCGAAGCGCTGAGAACATCATTCACAGCAGATAGTTTTACGATGTTTCCTCTAATAACCTACAATATAACGAAGCAATAGGCCAGGGGGTCATTGTAGATTCTAAAAAGCAACATTTAGGATATAAAAATCTCCTCTCCACCTTCATTTTTTGAACAATATCTCTTACTGGATACAAACATACAACTATTACGCCTCAGGGATAGGCAGAGAGATCCCGGAGCTACCACGGCTCACGTTATATTTTAATCAAACGTGTTAAGTTTGATTTACGAGATGTTATTACTAGAATAAAGAAAGGAATGCCTCTTTGATTTTTCTCTATAGAATAAGGGTGACAAACGAGCACACAATCAACCTTATGGTAAGTGTTTACTGTGGCCCATAGACATCTACATCTATCTTCGATTAGGAATCGAAATGCAGATGCGTTGTCACCCATGAGGACTAAGGTGTAATGCCACGTTTTCAGTAAAAAAGGGTTTCCGGTTATCTACGCTCACCATACGAAACACAGCAGCGTTATGCTGCTCTTTTACGCTGGTATTCTGTGAGAGCTTGGTCCTTACCCAGTTGAGCCGACCTATTCGTGCTACAACTATACTACTAATATAGCTGCAGCATGGCTCTACCACGTAAAAAAAATTGTTTTGGACATGTTGGAAGAATTAATGTGGAAAGAGTGACAAAGCAAATAAATGTTGCAGGAATGAGTTGCAAAGTTGACAAGTAGCATTCTAAACAGATAGACTGACCAAATTTGTAGTATATTGAATATATATAAATTATGAGCACTTCTAACCGACGAACATGTTAGCGTAGATTTATGGATGTGAAGGAAACGAGAGAGGTGTGTCACAATCTTGTCAAATGGAAATCCATAGGCGCTCTCCATAAATTTCACGGTATCATTTGATCCCCACCGGCACCAATGAAATTGATAATTGTACTTTTAAGTGCTGATTTACCACATACTCGGCGTTGAAGGTAAACATAGTAAGGAAACCTACATGACATAAAAAGTCCCCTAACAAACATTGGGGCAGCGCGGCGGCGAACATTTCCTTGCTCTAAAACTCATTAAAAATAAGGGGAAGTCTGTGCCCAACAGTGGGACGTATATAGGTTGTAACTTTTAACTTTATTTTGAAAATACAAAGAACACTGAACATTGAAAATAGAGATAACCTGCATAAACATACTTGCCACTTGCAATATGTACTAAAGTCGTATTGCAACATAGTTGATAAAGAAGTAAAAACCATGAAGGACTAAAAACTGACTAATAAAATAATTAATTCTGTGACGAAAAATAATTACAGAATAAATTACACACGTAGTAGTTATAAAAGTAAAAGATGTCGGCGTGAGATAAAATCCACCCATTAACACCAGTCTTTATTAAATTAATTAAAATAATATTATAATGATGTTCCCGGCGAACCGGTTATTCATTCGTGTGTATATAAAGTCGGGGTTGCCGGCATAATAAAGATCACATAATGATTGAAATATATAATACGCGATCTACCAAGACTAAAATTTAAAGTCGGAGTGTATTTTGTTTTTCATTGATCATATAGAATAGAAATATGTAGGGATACACAAGATTTCCTAAAGAGTAACTTACTATTTAGGTTAGGATTTGCCGTTACCAAATATTTAATTTTTCTATCTCTTATTAATGTTCTATCACCACTTCATCTGAGATTATACTGAGAAAAATCTTGTGTATGCCTACATATTTCTATTCTATATGATCAATGAAAAACAAAATGGGACAATACACAACGAGACGCAAACACAACAAGTGATTATATTCTCTTTGGCAACAATGAAGGCACAGACTAACTAGTAGAAATGAAGGACTGCGCCGATGCCAATCGTAGAACTGTTAAATGTCAAAAAAATCCGTTTTACTCGTGTGCACTCAATGACATACTGCATTATTTACTTATTTAATTATTATATTATTTTTAATTAATCTGTACTATACAAAAAGTAATAAAGAAATATATATAAAAAGGAATATATATATATATATATATATATATATATATATATATATATATATAAGAATATAGAAAAATACTTAATGATAAAACAAAATAAATGTTTAAAACTCAGAAACAGAGTTCAATTAAGTCAAGTAGCGAAATGCGAAGTATGTGAAATGGAACGTTTTAGAAAAACTGTAGTTGAGATGCGTTCAAAATATGGTGGTAATAAGTTTACCCTTGACGTAGAATAAGCATAAATAAATATTAAAAATATTTTACTCCTGCGTTTCTTTTAACATTGTGATACGCGTATTTAATTAAGAATTCAATTAGCAGAATTTTAAGATTTATTTCATTTGTATACATAGGCAGTTGAAAAATCGGCATCCTTCTTTGTGTAACTTAACTTTTCTTTGAGTTATATTTTTCATATATCTGTTTTTTTATATATTAATGTGCAGTTGAACATGTAATACAGCTTGCTTATTAAACAAACTTAAAAATTTTATGAATCACTGTCTAATTTCGGCCACTAGACGATCACTAGTTTTAATTAATTCTTAGACCTTGAATTTAAATTTCGCGAAAGATCTCCTCTCGTGTGTCCTGAGAAATATATTTAGTTAACAATATGAAAAACGAATAGTGTAAAAACATGACATTTTTATGGTCTTCTTCTTTATGATCAGTCCATAAACAGTCTATTCTTTGTCTTAAATACAATCTTAGGTATCTATTAGTGATCGTGAAACTTCTGAACGACTTGACCAAGTGAGGTAATGTTTACACGATATATCTGATTTGTCGAAAAGATGGTGCCTAACTATGCTTAGATTCAATATTCAAGTTATTAATAAATGTTATATTTTTCGACCAAAATGACCTTCTGTCAAGAGAAACTCAGTAGTAACCCGGACTTGGCGGTGTTTCACCTCCGTGCCGAAAGCAAGTAAGGCCCTTTGTCCTGAGCCTAATCTCTCTCTGGTCGAGTTGTGTTTCCGTCCTATTGGACTGTGAAAGTGAGGGAATAGCGAATAAGCCTAATCATGTTGAGACTGGTCATGAACGAAATTCGGTCAGGAGGATTTTACATGATTAATTTAGTGCCAATAATTTAAAATTTAAAATTTTGTACTGCCGACTTCAATATAAGTTATTAAGAATAACTCAAAAACTATTGGTCTGACTATGATCAAATTCATATGGAACCACACGAGAAGTACCAGCTTTCAAATAAAAAAAGAATCATCCAAATCGGTTCACCCAGTAAAAAGTTATGAGGTAACACACATAAAAAAACATAGAGTCGAATTGAGTACCGTCTCCTTTTTGGAAGTCGGCAGAAAAAAAAACAATCACAAAGCTTGGACCCGATAGGTGGCGCGGCGCTATGGTCGAGTTGTTATTAAGTTTTTTTTTAATCATTCAAATCAAAGTTATTGACCGCCTACTTAAAACGCCAGAACCACATCTACCGAGATCTAGTATATTTTTTTAAAATCAACCATATATTTGTTATAAAATTGATAATTATCTAAAAAACGTATTGGTTGCGTACGGGTATCGGGTACGTTGCGTATGGGTTTTCTTAAGAATGCACCAGCTGGTTAGAATGTTTTATAGATTTACCTATACTCACTACACTGGGTAGAGCTAAGAAACCGATACCTTCCCAATAATAATGTTGCTTCCAATCACAAATCTGTAAAACTTGGGTTCAGCGGATGGCTTTTCCCCATCAAAAAAAGTAAAACAAGCAAATTTGTTATAGGGTACTAATTAAAGAATGAAACCCATATTATGTCAGTTTTTTTTTGACAATACAATAATTGATAATCGTTTATTTAAAATAAGTATTAATTATCTCTATACATATTTTATTCTAATCTCATTTAGTGACGAGAGGGAGAAAGAGAGCAATAAATAATTGTTTATTTCTTAAAGTACCGTCTAATCTTTGAAGGAGACTAAATCGATCGAACAGTGTTTTTTTAAATAAATATTTCAATTATTAAGACTTGCCTTGAAAAGTTTACAGACTTATTGCGTTTGTAAATATGAGTAAAAATACTTACCACAGAGCAAAACCACACAAAATTTTTTCATTTTGTCAAATATATACTTAACACAACGTAAATTGCTAATAGACCGGTCTGTTGCGCTTATCTTAGCATCACTGGCCAGCAATGACCGCTAGCAATGTTTATAAACTCCACGCATGCCGATCGCGACCCGTTTGTCGCGTATCTCCCGCTTTTGAAATAATGATGTGAGTCATTACTGTCGACAATTTTTTAAATTTATTCATAAAAACACAAATTATAAAACGCGCCATGATTTTTCTATGTGTATGTGTATTGAGTCATACTGTAGGATCTAAACTCATTTACCTTATTAACTAATTTGAAGATGATAAAATAAATTATTTAATGAATTTCGTGAAAACAAAAATGACTTATCTTACGAGAACCTAGTTTAAATAGCACCCACCTCACTCCCTCGGTTGTATGCTACTACCACCGTCACCACTAGTCCCACTACAGTACCCTTAATACAATTTCACTAGGAAACTTACACCACCGTCGTCGGTAATACGACACGCGTTTCGCCTCTAAACAAGGCATCGTCAGAAAAAATAGACTGCCATGACTGGCAGTCATTTTGGAACGGATCTTTGGGAGGATATTTAATATAATGGATTTTCTAAAAGTAGCGTCAGATTCTATTAATTATTATTAACTACGCCAATTATCTTTCCGTTTAGTGTCTACGTTTATTATCATTAAATTAAGTTCATTACGAAACACATAATTGTACGAAAAGACCAGTCCTTCCTACCATAGGAGATACCCATGTTCAACAGTGAACTCTTACAAAATGATAAAAATGATTTTTTTTTTTGCGTCCAGAAGCAATGAAAAGGGCTACCCTCCGGGAAGCCGGGGAAGGGTGGTGGTGAATGTTCTAAGCATGCCACGGAGCCGGCTGCGTTATTATGTGGGATTCACTATAAAACCTAAATGCCTACCCACTAAACACCACCTGTGGGACTGGAATTGGCCTGAATGACCTTTCTGCCGAATCAGTAGCGACCCTCTTTAGAGAAAAGGAGGCGCAGGCGGCGAGTAGCCGCTGAGAGGTGCGCCTAACTAAGGCAAATTAAGAACGGGGAGAAGACTCGGCTTGAGCCGCCAGGAAACAGTTCAGGGAAATAAAAAATAAAGTAAAGTTAGAGCTTATATACGTCCCAGTGCTAGGTACCAGGACTCCTATCATTTCTAAGTAGATTTTTAGAGCAAGATAGTATCCGCCACATAGAGCCTGGGTGGTAATCAGCACTTAAAATTGTAATATAAATTATTATTAATTATATTAATTATTAATTATATAATATAAATATTTTTATACATACGGATAAAAAATAAGATGAGTAAATAACATATTTCGCTTTAATTTTAATAACTCGTGGTATATAAATACAGCTTGGTAAATATAAGAAATTATCTTTACCATATTATTTAAATTCCATATATTATATCCAAATTGTATCTTTTAATATAACTGACAATCGTATCGATAATATGGTTCAACACTAATTAACCCATATCATGACCTGTGAGTAAATTACGGCACGTAAATTCCCATACTCTGTTTTCCCGTTCAGACGGGAATAGAATCCTTATACTATGTAAGAAGGAAATTTCGGTAAAAAAATTATATTCATTTATGTAACGCCCAAATATCAAAAAGTACTCCTTAAGTGTTAACTATACTCTAGCTATTACTACGGTTTTAGATCTTAACATTATACGGACGAGCCAGAGATTATATCATGGTATATTATTATATATTATTAATCTATATATAGATATTAATATATCTTTTAAACAAACTTTAAAGCGATAAGGTACTCCTTAAAAGGATATCCGGGTGGGAATTAAACTATACAAACATTTTCCTCTGTTTTGTTTTGTCTCATGTCATGTCTTATCTACCACTGTCATGTTCCTATTCCTATGAATAGGAACATGACAGTTTTTTATTATTAAAAAAAAAAACTAGGATCTTTCAATAATTACGTAAACATTTACCCAGTTATTATAACACAGTAATTATCAGACATCCAGCAAACCCCTGCATCCTTGGTTAAATTTAAAGAAAAATATAAAAATATTGCCACAATTCTTCTAATATCGTTCTTTAAAGAAAATTGGTCCAGTTTTGGAAGACAGACAGAGGTCATGAAGATTTCTTCAATTTTTCACAGGTGTAATCAGTCCGATCAACAGCTGTTTTTCTCAATTGCTTTTTTTTACATGGGAAATGCCTAGACGTACCACTCTTGCGGAGGAGACAAGGACAGGTAATGTCGTTACTCGCACCGACTAAAATTCCACGGTGTTTCCTTCGCCGCATATTGGCAGAGCCACGGGAACGCTCTCGCACACATCCGCGGCTCCACCAGCGCCGGCGGCATCATGGCAGCTTCTCGGAAGTGGACTTCACCTTCACCTTCTGCTTCTCAGGTAAGGCGCACCAGGAACATAACGCGCTCCTTGAAGCTATTATAGAATTATTTCTATTACAGATGGATCTGCGCGACGGACTCCCCGAGCCTAATACGCGGAGGCCATGGGGCCAGGAAAAAACGAGCACTCTGAAGTAGGAGCTTTTCTAACCCCAGGGGTGGATCTGGTTTGTAGCTCCGCCGCCGACCAAGTTTCGGCTGCCCTTCACTTCGAGCCAGCTAGGTTCCTCTTACTTCACCATGGGTAACTACTAAGATTCCCGTCACGACAAGGCGGGAACCCGTTCGGGGGGGAATTGCTTTTCTCGATTGCCTAGCTCTGTCTTTCGGGTACCTACAGTGCGACAGCAATAGATCGTTAGAAAGCTTTTCCTCAAGTTCTTTCAGTCAACATATACTTAAGAAGGGAAGTGCGGGCGGCAAGGTATTTGAAGAATAGGTTTTTAACAGACCTATTGTTGTCGCGACTATGACTGTGTTTTTCTTTTTTTTTACGAGTATGTTTGTTAAATTTGATTACTGGATGTCTATACTTAATTACGGCGGTGAATCTTTCCCACATTTAGTAATTTTAGAAGGTTCCTGATTTTTAAAATAATCATATGATGGATTATTGCAGACACAAAGATCGTCTATAGGTACAAATACATAAAATTGAAGTGTCCGTTTGTAATGTAAAAATAGCAGCTTTTTACTAAATGCATATGAAAGTATACACGGTACTTATAACAAAAATTCAATTTTTAAAATTTTAGTCTGTATGTCTGTCTGTTTTTTCCGGCTAATCTCCGAAACGGCTGGACCGATTTCGACTGGACTTTCACTGGAGTAACTTAGGCTACTTATATTTTAGAAAAATAATTAGGGATCCACGCAACATAATTAAAACCCTAAATTACACGCGGGCGAAGTCGCGGGGAACAGCTAGTTATATACAATACAAATTAAAATGCCGCCCGGTTATACTCGTAAGGGTTGCACTAAAATAAAATTATTTCTATGACGAATACCAAATAGCGTTAGGAACTGCTAGGTACTGTCTTGCATTGTTGCTACTGAACATACAAAATTTTATATAATAATTTTATATATATATATATATATATATATATATATAGGTAATCGCTTGTGGTATCCAAGTGCGGAGAAGTTTCTAAAAGAATTCTAACCTAGAATAGAATAGCATAATTTTTTATCCAATATAGTTTATATGTAAAACGAAAACCAATGTGCTCTTAAATGGGGAGGAGTTGAGTCTTGTGGATACCACTGTTTTTCTCGGTATTACTATTGACGCGAAACTTCAATGGGGCCCCCATATATCTAAATTAGCAAGCAGACTTAGTTCTGCAGCATATGTTGTAAGAAAGATTAGAAATCTCACAGATGTTGAGAAAGCTAGGTTAGTGTATTTTAGTTACTTTCATAGCGTAATGTCTTATGAAATTTTGCTATGGGGTAATGCGACTGATATTGGAGCTATATTTGTTTTGCAAAAGAAAGCCGTACCTTAAACACTAGGAACAAACATAAGCTTGTAATGCCACTTACTAGATTCCACAGAATTAGTAATTCATTTATGGGGCAATGTATACGCTTTTATAACAAAATCCCAGAACATGTTCAAGTTTGTCAATAAACAAGTTTAAAAGTTTTATTAAAGAAAAACTGTACAAAAAGGGTTATTATAATATCAAGGAATACATGAATGAAAATAACCCCTGGGAATAAGGTGATTGCCACCATGCTGGTTCTATGAAAATTAATTTAAAGTTGTATTAACAAAATTATTGTTAAGTGAAATTATGTTTAAAAAAAAGTCCCGCTGGGTTTCTTGCTGGTTCTGCCCAGGACAGAGGTATTTTCCGAACCAGTGGTAAATAAAATAATGATTTTCAATAAGTATTATGTAATAATCCATATTGAATAAAAATCATTCTATTCTATTCTTTTCTACGTAATTCCTATTGAAAATCATTTTATACTTTTACCACTGGTTCGGAAAATACCTCTGTCCTGGGAAGAACCAGCAAGAAACGCAGCGGGATATGAAAGGTTGTACAAACTATTTAAAAAAATTATTGCCGTCAATATGCATATAATAATGATTATATATCAAATATATCCTTTAAGCTAAGCTAACCTTTAAACTTTTTCAACGAGGTAAAATTCCAAATGAGGATTTGTATCAGGAAAGAGAGTAATCGACAAACCCAACGGATCAGTAAGCTGAAGTAGCAAAGGGCAGGCCATATAGCTCATAGACCTTACAATCGATGGGAAAGAAAGGTTATCGAATTTCAGCTTCGTACTGTTAAGCGATTCAAAATTCTATTTTGAATCGCCTAATCTGTAGGTGCAACCGAATATCACAGAGTCATAAAATTAAAAATACCATATAGTACGCAAAGTAGTGACCCGTCCCGGATTCGCCTGGGTAGCATATATTAATGTGACGTTATTATAATTTATTAGTTTTAAAATAAACATCAAAAGCCATTTGTTCTATTAATTTTTCGATTGCAATTTGTCACTTCATACAATTATAAAATACAGAGATCACATTGATATGAACAGA